CACACACACACTCACACACACTCTCTCACACACACACACTCTCTCTCACACACTCGCACTCACTCACACTCACACTTTCACTCTCACACTCTCACACACACACACACACACACACTCACACACACTCTCTCACACACACACTCTCTCTCACACACTCGCACTCACACTCACACTCACACTTTCACTCTCACACTCTCACACACACACACACACACACACACACACTCTCTCACACACACACTCTCTCTCACACACTCGCACTCACTCACTCTCTCACACACACGCACACACTCACTCTCTCACACACACACTCTCTCTCACACACTCGCACTCACTCACTCTCTCACACACACGCACACACTCACTCTCTCACACACACACTCTCTCTCACACACTCGCACTCACTCACTCTCTCACACACACGCACACACTCACTCTCTCACACACACACTCTCTCTCACACACTCGCACTCACTCACACTCACACTTTCACTCTCACACTCTCACACACACACACACACACACTCTCACACGCACACACACACACACACACACACACACACACATAACCAGTGCAATTCCCTTGTTGTTGTTTTTTTGGGTTATTTAGTTCAGATTCAGTTTGAGCTCATGTGGTTCTTATTTTTATTCTCCCCCTGCAGGTCAGCGTTTAACAACAACGTCCGTGTGGCGTATGAGCTGCTGACGCAGAGCGTCCCGCGTCGTCTCGGTGCCGGCGGTGTTCGCGGGAGGCTCTACTCAGAGATGCTGCGGTGTTTGTGCAGTGAAGGCGGGCTCTCGGGCTCCACCGCCGCTCCGCTCCTGCGCCGCATCCAGAGCCACGACTACGAGTCTGTGCCCTTCGAGCTCTTCCGGCAGGGCGTCCTGACCTGCGCCGTGTTCGCCGACTACATCCGTAAGTCTCAGTGTCTGTACGCGGCGGTGGCCAGCGCTCCGGACCGTCCCGCTGAGAGGACGCTGTGCCAGGCGGTGCTCTCCACCCTCCGTGAGGCACTGGAGACGGCAGGCGGCGCTGACGTGGCGCGATATCTGGAGGCCAGCGCCAAGATCTCTCCTGCCAAAGTGGCTCAGGCCATGGCCGAGGTTCAGCCGCGCGCGCAGCAGCAGGACGGTCCCACGATGGACGCGCAGGAGTTTGAAGACGACGCCGCCGCGCTCTTCATCGCTCGAGTGCGAACCGTCACCTGAGATCACCAGGAGTTCTGCATGGATCATTATCACTGAGAGCCGAGCATACTGCACAAACAAGAGTATATCGAACGTTACATCTTAAACCGTTGCGTCATGTTGCATTCAAGTTTGACATTTAGATGTTGTGAAATTGTTGTTGAAAACATTGGCGTTTTCTCAAGCCGTTTGACTTCACACTGCTGTCTGGTTTTCCAGCACAAATATCTAAATATTCTTCAATCAAGATGCATTTACCAGAGAAGCAAAATGACAAGATATAAAGTCTTGTCTTCTGAAAGAAATGCTCAAAGTTAGGTGAGTTTATGCTTAAAACAAGAAAGTGAGAACAGAAACATAAACTTAATTCAAAGGGAAAACCAGACATTTGTTCTTGTTTTAAGCAGAAACTCGCTTAAGTTGATAATTTTTACCCAGAAAACAATATAATTATAATCTAGATTTTTTAGATATTTGTGCTGGAAAACAAGACAAAAACCCTAAGTTAGAAAAAACTTTTTGCAGTTTATGAATATAATAAAGATAATAGCAAATATAATAATTAAATAACAAATAAATACTAGATTTTTTACCAGCATCCAATAAGAAACACCTTAACATCGCATCAGCTTCGACAAAATTAACAACAGTTAGCTTCTTTTTGTAAAAGCGTGGCATATTTGTGACGTATTAAAAAGGTTTGGAAAAGTCTTAATTCGTCCTTCCACAAACTAAGGCCTTAAAAAGAGCTTAAATCAGACGGAACGTCTTAAATTCATAAAGCCGTGGCAGTAAATGTTGCATGAACTGCAGAAACAATGAACATCTTCCTCAGTGTTTTAATCAGTACAGTATCTAAATATCCTTCAATCCAGACGTCTTAAGGATTTTAAGATGCAAAATGAAGATAAGAAGTCTTGTATTTTGAGAAATTGAAGTTTATGTTTATAAAATCTGTTTGGATCTTGTTTTAATCATAAACTCATTTTTCACCCATCACATCTCATCCACTTTCTCAGAAAACGACACTTCTCATCTTTTGTCATTTTGCATCTCAAGTAAATGAATCTTGATTTATGAGTTTTTAGACGTTTGCACTTGAAAACAAGACAAACGTACCGAAGAAGAGCATCACTTTTTATTTATTTTTTTAGAAAATGCATTTAATGTATTTATGTTTCATGCACTTCAGATCGAAGTGAAATGATGATTTGACCTCGTTACTGTAGCCGAAGTCTAATTTCAGCGCGAGAAACCTCAGTTCAGCAAGTGTTTGTGGTGTATTTCTGTTATAGATGTGCATCTGAAAGCACACCGTTCCCTTTTCAGTTTCACAGATCCTGAGCTCAGCAGGAGCCTGCATCCACAACACATTTTACTGTTGCATTTGCAAACGAATTGCATTTCCAGTTAGAACAAAAACAACATTTTATTGATTTATTTATGCAGATGTGCACGGATGAATCGCTCGCAATAAGAAACCTGAATTAAGAAAGAGACTGTAAATGCTGACTGTTGTCTTATTTGCATTAGCAGAGAAATAAAGATATAACCGAGAACCGTCTCATCTTTACAGCTCCGCTTGTACATGTGCAAGCATTTATTTATTTACAGGTTTACTTTCCATCCTGTTAGTCTTCTGTAAAATCCCTTAATGTTTTTTTTAATGCAGAACAAGAACATTTACATACATTTACATACATTTGCATACAGAGGATTTACACAATGTACTCACTGATACAGTCACAGGGAAATGAACAGAAAGAAACAAATACCAAATAAATTATGCAGGAAATTCGTTTTGCCTTTTTTATTTCTTGCATCTTTAAAGTCTCGATATGTTGCATCAGTTGTTGATGTTTTATTGCTTGCCCATTTTTGTTTATAAATATAAAGGTATTTTCCATACACAATTAACAAATCATCAACAATTTCCCTCTTATTCGTATATAATAAACATATATCTTATATGGAAGCCTGTTTCCACCACAGAATAAAAAATACAAAAAAACAAACAATTCTGAGCTTATGTCCGGGTATAATTTTTTTTCATAATTGTGAGATATAAACACAATTTTCTGAAGAAAACTCAGAATTGTGAGATAAAATGCAATTGCATTTTTTTAATTATTATTCTGTGTCAGAAAAGAAAAGAGATGTAAACTCAGAATCGGGAGATAAAAAGTCACAATTATGTTAATTTATTACTATATTTATTATTTTTTATTCCGTGGCGGAAACGAACTACCATGATCTTAATATCTTGTATTTACCAAATTTAGAATTTTGTATGTTTAAATAGTAGCATAAATAAATAAATGAATGTATAATGGATTCTTCCTCCAAGTTACAAAAGACACATACAGTCTCCATGTCTCTAAAAAAAATCTTGATACTAATTATCTCACCGGCTAAATTAAATGAATAACTTAATTGTAAAAAAACTCTTAAAGGCACTTCCTTCATGACAACATCCTGCAGGAAGTGACATCATTTATTGGAGGGAAACCAGCAGCACAAACATCAGTGAGTATTATCAAAGCATCTGATGAGTTTTGTGGCTTGTGTTGAATTTAAATCTCCTTAAATAAGAAAAGATGGTGCTAATCATGTCATGGAGCTCTCCAATCGTCTGAAAATGCTTGTTTCTTCACCTCTTGTGAGTCAGAATCATGCATGTCCATAATTAAGACACGCTCAAGCATGATTCGATTGGCATTAGTTCACACGTGCATTCATTAAATGCTTCACTTATTGTGGCTGTTAACTGGAAACATGCTCTCTGTTGCTCTGAATGAAGGCGTGTTATCGTGCAAACACTGGTTTTATGATGCACTTACAGACACTTCCCTGCACTGGAGGACTGCCAGAATCAGCACTTTTATTGCACTAGTATCAGCATAAAAACAGAAGCACACTGGTATCCTTTTAAAGAGATGTATGAACAAAAAATAAGATTGGAAATGGGGAACATGCATGAGTTATGAAACCTAATCATTTCTAGTGCATGCAAGAAAGATTGAAACATGAATGAATCTCACATTCTGTTGGACTGATTTCACGCTTTATTATACTTTCATCGCTTGTAGAAATGGAAAGTTACAGGCACGATGGGTTAAAATAAAACTTTATCCAAAGTTACAGGACAGCAGTTCGAGTCGTTTATGAGCACAAGACTGTGACGAATACTAATAATCAAACAGTTCAAAAAACTTGCATTAAATCTGCAGCAAATGTGAATTTTGCCACGATGTTTAAACATAATGTTAAATGCACCGCTCAAATGTCACCACAAAATCAAAAGGATTTTTAGAAATGAGTCTGGATAAAGTGAATAAATCCTACTTTTAGGCTTTTGCATTGACATAAACCCAACACAAGATGTTATTATACTTATAAAATTTCTTAAATTGTTTAGTGCATTTAAAATTTCTGCGATTTTTTTTATTTAATTGCAATTTAAGTAATTTATATTTATTTCTATAAACGTATATAAACGAATTTAATAAATTATATAAATATAATTTATTAAATTACTTAAATTGTAATTATTTAATAAAATTAATTTAAAATCAGCATATACATATAAACAAATTAATAATTTTATTACATAATTAAATATATTTATTATTTACATGTATGTAAAAGACATTATTTTAATGAGAAGCACACTGTATGTGTATATATATATATATATATATTAAATTACTATACAACAGTGTGCTTCTCATTAAAATATCTTTTAAAAATCCTAAAAAGCTTAAATTTCTTTGTACAACAATTTTCAAATTTTTTTTTTTTACATTTTTAATTTTCTTTTGATTTTGGGGTGAAATAAGAAAGAAAAATCAAAGCAGCTCAAATGTTTTACAGAAACTGTAAAAACGCTCCGGTCTGATTCACTGGAAGGCTTTAATGCTTTCGATAAAAGCTGGATGCACTTTGGGTGAAACTATAATGCATAAACTTTAACAGCACAGTTATAAAAGGCAATAAAGGTGCCGGAATCAGTTTTTAAAAGGCGACCCAGTTCAGTTTGTCCTCATTAACAATGACCTTGATTTTGGGAAGAAACTTTAATTGCATTTGGCTCAAACTCCGCAGACATTCATTACAGTAATATTATGCATTTCCCCCATAACTCACAAAAACAATAAAATAAAAGATGACCGAGGTCAGAATGTACAGTGATGCATACTGGCAGACCGTAAAAGAAGGAAAAACCTGAAAAAACAAGCAAAAAGCCCAGACAGCAGAGAAAGCGGACGACTGCGTGCGTTTATGTGGCCGCAGGAGGCAGACCACTGTTGACCTGAAAGCGTGTTTCGTCTGATATCCCATACTGCTCCAGCGGGTCCTGCAGGAGATCACGGATTATTCATCTTATATCGATATCTGAGAGGTATCTGTTGCATTAATTAATAGCCATTCCCTCACCTTTCCGGTCAGCCGATGGATTTCTGTGCGATAGTAGATCAGGTTCTTGCGCATGAATTCATAACTGAGAGACAGAAGCAGATTGCAGTTATAAAGCGGGAGACGCACTGCATGATGGGAAACGTCCGCGACACACACCTGGCTTTAACGACGGCATCGATCCACTCGACACACTGTTCCTGAGAATCGCATTCGAACAGATACTTCCTCTCGGCCTCGTCCAGAAATACTAGAAAACAAGAAATATAAGGAATAGCCAGGGTTATTTTAGTATAATTAATATACAATTATAATGTTTTTTTAATTAATATTTTGAATTTGAAGAAATTTTATATTTTCAATTTTATAGTAATTTCAATTTTTTTTATTTTGTTTTATTATTATTACTATTAAATATGTCAAAAGAAACCGTGAGTGACGTCACATTTCTCTCTTAAAGTACTGAAAGTCACATTGAGAGACTTTTGTAGCTTTTATTAATATTTTTCCATTTAAAGTTTCCATTTTTAAAGATATTTCTTTCTTTGCGATTGTTGTATTTTATTATTTATATGCATTTATATTTTAATATAATCTATATAGTTTTTAGTTTCAATTTTAGTTATTTTAATGCATCAAGTTAGACTAAATGAAAATGAGAAATGTTTCCTAGGCAACTAGCGGAAGTCAAATAAATTCAGTTTTTATTTGATTTCAGTTAATTTATTATATTTCAAATAATATATTTTTTTCTTATTTTTATAATTTTAGTTTTAGTAACAATAACCCTTCTTAAAACATAAGAGCTGATGCTTTAAAAGCTACATTGGCTCTTATGTTTTAAGAAGCGTTATTTTCATTAACTAAAACCTAAAAAATACATTTTTATTATTTGAAATAAAATAAATATTAACTGAAATAAAATATAAGAAACTGATTTTGTTTAGTTTAACGTGATAAGTAAAACTGAAATAAAAAATTTAAGTAAAAACTACATGGATAAAAAAATTTAAAAACTGACAAAAAACAACAAAAAAAGGAAATTACTTAAAATGGCTTTAAAATGGAAATATTAAAAACTAAATTTAAAAAAATGTCTGGTTTTAATTTAACATTTTAAAGCCATTTTTGAGTAATTTCCTTTTTTTTGGGTGCAATTTTGTTGTTTTTTGTCAGTTTTTAGTTTTAATTTTTTTTTATCCATGTAGTTTTTACTTAAATTTTTTATTTCAGTTTTACTTATCACGCTAAACTAAACTAAACTAAATAAAATCAGTTTCAGTTTTTTATATTTTATTTCATTTCAGTTAACATTTATTTTATTTCAAATAATAAAAGTGTTTTTTTTAGGGTTTTAGTTAATGATAATAGCCCTTCTTAAAACATAAGAGCCGATGCTTTAAATGAAAACCACAGACATGAAATGTTTTGGATAATTTCTTTTCTATATTTCTACACTGCTGAGCTGTTCGTGTGTCTCTCACCGATGGAGAAAACCTGATCGTCTTCTCTCTCCACGCGACACTGTTCCAGCAGCAGAGCGCCGATGGGCTGAAAACACAAGCCAATCAAACTCAAGCGATCAACGATGCTGTTGAGATCCAGATCAGACGCTGCTTCACACTCACCTCGTCCTCGTCGGTCCGAAAGTAAAACAGGAAATTAACGATCAGCTTCACTACACGCCTCTTCACAACTGTTGTGGGAAATACAGGAGAAATAGAAGTCAAACTCTATTGAGGCGCGTCTCCACACAGCATAACCAGATCAGTCCAGTCTAGTGAGGCGCAGTCACTAGGTTAACTTTAACTCTTCCCTAAAAACATTTTATTCTTAGATCGACTTTTAGTTGCTTTAGCGCACATTTAGTGAATATAATGCATTTTTATTCTGTTTATGTATTTTTATTACTTTGTATTGTACAGGTTGTTTTTACAATCTTCTGCGAGATACAAACTTTGAATTTATATCTTGCAATTTTATTCTAAGTTTACATCATTCAAACAACACACAGGGCAAGCCGAAATGTTTCTAGGGCCGTATGGTTTCTGCGAAAACGCGGACGGGATCGCGTAGTCCGTTCGTCAATTTCGGACGAATAAATCAAAAGTTAGATAATTCCGAATCTCGATATGAACTAGTGTCTGTGAACATTAAAATGCAAAAAGACGGTTTAAATATGAATCCTGCATGTCCCGCTTGCCTCTATGTATGAATGGCGGAAACGTGGTTTTGTTTACTACACAAATACTGAAGCACGCGTGACGCTCGCGGTGGTTTCCGGCCTCTGCGTCTCACTGTATGACGGCATGAACACAAAAACGTAATCCCCAGAGCTGCTGTGAGAGGCACTTCGTGAGAATTTTACCGTTTCATTTGAGAAAACTAGCATCATTATACTGTATACACACACACAGAAACTTCATGGCAACCTGTCAAAATAAAAGTACGGTTTAACATGTAACAGAAATATATTACTCTTTTATAAAGTATAATGTACATCTTATAAATGTTCCATTTTCTATCAAATTTAAATAAAACAATTAAATGATAAAAATAAATATTACAACCAGATTAATCACTTAAATTTATTAGCCTATTAAAACATTTTTTTTAAAGGAATATTCACACAATTTTTCTTCCATGTATTAATTTCAACAGTAAACCTCAGTTTGTTTGCCAAAAAAATAAAATGGTTTAATTTTCATTTGATTTCAAATAAATGTTTAATGCCTTCATTTGATTTTCAGAAAAATTAAAACAAGAGTTTGAGGGGCCCTATTGTTCAAAATGTTGAAATTGAGACTTTTGGACTTATTTTCTTAAATTAAATAAATTATTTTGTAATTACACACAGAGTAAAGGTACCGTTGGGCGCTGAAATTCAGGTACCGGTACCCAACCCTAACGCTAATGCACTTTACAAACGCTCCTCCTTAACCATGACTCTCATTGTGTCTGTGATGTTCCTCTTCTAGGGAAGTTACCTCGCTCACACGCAGGGCAAAAAGCATCAGACTAACTTGTAAGTGCATTTCTGGAGCTGTGATCATCAGGATGATGTTCAGTGTAGAGGAGCAACTCATTGTGTTGTCTGTACTTTTCTATTTTAGAGCAAGACGAGCTGCAAAAGAGGCGAAGGATGCGCCGGCTCAACCCGCTCCAGAGAAAGTCAAGGTTGAGGTGAAGAAGTTCGTCAAGATTGGCAGACCGGGTTATAAAGGTAAGACACTGAGCCTCGTTTCTGAAACATGAGCCTGCTTCATATCTACTGAATGAAATCCAATACTTGTTTCTTACTCATTTTGTGGTAAAATTTTGCCAGGAAAAGTCTTAGAATTTTTATCACGTGTTAATGTAACTTGTTTTTACTGTATTTTATACTTGTGTTTTTTTAAATTGTATTTGCCATGAAAATAGCCTTTGATGCTGACGTGGCATTAAATAAATATATACTATATGTGACCCTGGAGCACAAAACCCGTCTTAAGGGTACATTTTTCAAAATTGAGATTTATGCATCATCTGAGAGCTGCATAAATAATATTTCCATTGATGTATGGTTTGTTAGGATCGGACAATATTTAAAAATCTAGAATCTGAGGGTGCAAAAAAATCTAAATATTGAGAAAATCATCTTTAAAGTTGTCCAAATGAAGTTCTTAGCAATGCATATTACTAATCAATAATGAAGTTTTGATATATTTACGGTAGGACATTTACAAAATATCTTCATGGAACATGATCTTTACTTAATATCCTAATGATTTTTGGCTTAAAAGAGAAATGTATAATTTTGACCCATACAATGTATTGTTGGCTATTGCTACAAATATCCCCCAGCGACTTAACACTGCTTTTGTGCTGCAGAGTCACATATTATACTACACTAATTCTGTGGTGCGGATTCCAAAAATAGTGGTTGTTTCACTCCAGTATGTCACATTTTCTCACAAAATACGATGCATATTTCATTAGCAGGAAAAACATCTCAAACACATGATTCCTGTCTGAATCTGAGATGTATTACAACTGTTAGTTCAATTCTCAGCCCATTTTCACATGCATGGCATTATTTTATGCCTCATCCTGATTTCAGGAGACGAAAAAAATGCAAACATAAGCCAGATTTTCTGCTGCATCTCTGTGCGTTTTACTTCATCCAAACAACCACAGAATTGATTTATACATTTGTCACGTATCTGCTTTTGTTATTTTGAGAAGTGCATTAAAGCTGATACGCAAATATAATTTGAAAATTTTTTTTGTGAAAAAATGCACATGACGGAAAGCTTCTATTGATATTTTTAAATTCAGCATCATCAGATTCGTTACTATTAGGCCTTAATTTGAAAATCAGCAGATTTTTTCACAAGTTTCATGTGTTATGATTGATTTCCGTTCTGCTCATGTGGCATGAGTGAATCCCATTCATTTGTTTTATAGACAAATTTCCCGTTTTCATGGTGGAAACCTGTAAATATTTAACTTGACAGGCCTGGAAACATACAACATTTAAAGGGGTCATATGATGCTTTTTTTTAAAGATCATTATTTGGTGTAACAGAATACAGTGGGTACGGAAAGTATTCAGACCCCCTTAAATTTTTCACTCTTTGTTATATTGCAGCCATTTGCTAAAATCATTTAAGTTCATTTTTTTTCCTCATTAATGTACACACAGCACCCCATATTGACAGAAAAACACAGAATTGTTGACATTTTTGCAGATTTATTAAAGAAAAACTGAAATATCACATGGTCCTAAGTATTCAGACCCTTTGCTGTGACACTCATATATTTAACTCAGGTGCTGTCCATTTCTTCTGATCATCCTTGAGATGGTTCTACACCTTCATTTGAGTCCAGCTGTGTTTGATTATACTGATTGGACTTGATTAGGAAAGCCACACACCTGTCTATATAAGACCTTACAGCTCACAGTGCATGTCAGAGCAAATGAGAATCATGAGGTCAAAGGAACTGCCTAAAGAGCTCAGAGACAGAATTGTGGCAAAGCACAGATCTGGCCAAGGTTACAAAAAAAAATTCTACTGCACTTAAGGTTCC